TGATTGGCCCATGTCAACAACCCTAATCAAGGATCTCATAGTCAACAGTTTCTAGCTGATTCCAATCACTACAGGAACAAAGACCAATTTAAAGCAGAAAAATGTGCAAGCAGTAGGTAATCCATTTCCAATCATTTCAGCTGTAACTAATTTGCTAGCATCTATCATTCACTGTTATTATGTTGATGTACTGATTAAACAATTTAAAAGGCTGCATGTTTGCATAGGACTTGTTACTGGATATTACAATGATTCCTATCAGACTGGAGAGATAAGGAGAAATCTTCTACTGCTTTCAAATGACTGGTTTTATCAACAATTCTCGAATATGAACAGCATACCGTGAAAGAGAAACAGGCACCAGTAAGAATTCAGGCATTTCCCTTATAAACATATAGACTGCAAAACAATTGAGCGGATCTATTCTTGAAGTCACCTGCTATGACAAATCTGAAGCATGCCATAGGGATTATGTAGAAGTACACTCTGGACCGCCTCTGTCTCTAGTTTTCTTGCTGTTTTTGTTGAGGCTCAACAGTGAAGTGTTGGGTTTGAGTGTGAATCCAGATTGTGCCACGATGTGGCATTGCACAACTATTCACCTTGCTGCAAATCAGAACTTTCAATTAGTGGCCCTGATCTTCCGAGGAATTCAAAGTCAGATTGCCACTCTGCTCCTTTTTTTGGTCCCATCAGGACTGACTTCCTCATTTTTAGCTGACAATCCCAATCCAGGCTCCTTTGGAAATACAGAACGATTTTCTCAACTCCTTAGCAAATAAAACTCACATGGTCAATTAGCAGCCACTTAAAAGCCTCAACTCACTAGCTTCCTGATCATGCAACTCATGATTAGTTATCTGATAGAGTAACCAAAGTGACCTGAATACCTGCTTTGAGAGAGGTGAAAGTAGTGTTTATTTTTCCCACACTGGGGGCATTCGAAAGCATAATGGGAGATAAAGGGTTATCTCTGAAAGCCACTTCAGAGGGATGTTGTCAATGTGGGAAAACTACAAGTTTGTTATTTTCTCAGGTGTTTGTAAGCAGAGCTGTATAGTAACTCAATGGGTAAAATAATAACATTGTTTCCACAGCAAGTAATTTTCAACAAAAAATGTTAAACATTTTTCAAAATCCCTTCAATATTTTGTTGGAGTGGCTTGATATTATAATCCATCTGCTACAAAGCAAATACTGCTGTTTATGGTGTGGAAGATTTTGTTTATGAATATACCATTGCCGAAAAGTGAACTGTACCAGTTTGACATTGCTCCCCTGCACGTTTAGATGCCTTTCTGATCAGATACCCATAAAAATGAAATGTCACTATTGAAAATACAAATGTAAGATCCTTTTCTCAATTTTAATTTTAGATGCCCAAATTCTCGATTGTTTTAGGGTTTCTGCGGAAGGACACTCTGGAGTCTCTCGGTCTCCAATTTTCTGCGTAGGGGAGAAGGGCTATTACTGGAATGGTAAAATTTGTACCAGAAACAAGAAAATGCTTTCAACACAATTGATTATGTCCATTGCTTAAATACTGTTGTAGCCTATGTAAAGCTCAATTAAAAGTAATAATTATTGAGGGTAAATTGCTAAGTAATTTTCCTAGCCTTGGAATCAGGGAAACAAACTGCTACCTGATGAATTCTGAATATTTTCCTAATGTTGGCAATGGAAATCCCTTGCATCACAATTTCAGAATCCGTTATTTGCAAGTTCATTACTAAATGCAAGCAAAGAGTTATGAATGGAGGAAAAATAGCCATTTTACACCAAGTTATTTGAAATTAAATCAATTTATAAATAATTGCATATTCTTATCTGAGCTGTCTGAAAACTGATATTCACTCCTGTCCAATTTAATTTAATTTGTTTTAGTAATAGATGATGAGTCTTTGAAGCTTCAAAAAAAGGAGGATTCGTATTGTAACTTCAGTAGTTCACACAATGTTCATCATTCAGTGGTATGATAAAGATATACATGTAAAAATATTTTACTTTGCTATCAAGGGAATCTACCAATTGAAATATTTTCAGTGTGAGAAAACAGCTTTCAAAGTTAGAAGGAATGGAAAGGTGGTTCCCATCTAGAAATGGATCCGGGTATCAGTTGAAATGGCTGCCCTGAAATATGCAAAAATAGCCCTCATTGAATCATATTCCACAATTTCCTTTTCCAAATGCGGTGAAAGTCTCTTGCCTTCATATGACAGAGCTATTGAGACTACAAATCTTACCAATAAATCCAGCATCATGGAGAAGCTGGTTAAGATTTGTTGAGATTAGAAAGTAATATTTTGCTGTCTTTTAAAGCAGCCCCAATGACTCAGCAAATAACTTTATGCAATCATGCAGAGCTCTAAAATTCCAGTTTAGGCTCCTTCTGGCTCTACATCAAAGATGAAGTTAATACTACCTGTATGGTAGCATCACATAAAAGAAAACCACAGCAGGAAATCTGAGTGGAACAGAAATATGCCTTCTCCTTGCTGATGAGTCCAATTTCTCAGAAAGGTGCTAATACATGTATTAAAACTGTAATGACATTGAAGATTCCAAAGCTAGTTTACTTGTGTCCACTAATTGCCTGAAAATTACTGTGCAAGGCCAATATGCTATTGGACATTTCTCAGAAATCTGGAAAATTACTGTTCTCCATCACTAAAATGGGTGCATCCTTCATGAATTTGTATCCCTCAACATTGTGAGGCAATGAACAATAACCAACTACCCCAAAGCATAGTGGCTTAACGATTGGTGGAAAATCAAGAGACTTGTGATCAAATCTTAGCATTGACTTGATTTTTCATTTGCACCAAATGCAAAGTTTACTTTTTTGCAAACTTTTTCTGTGCCTGCCCCAAAAAGAATACTAACCTGGGGCATCAGTGGTAGATTTCCAAAGATCCTTCTGAGAGGGCACCTCTTCTTCTGTGTTCCTTTCCCTTTACTAGGTGTTGGTTTATATCAGGAAAATGTCTCTCCAATTCTCAGGGTTCTCTGCTCCTTTCTACCTGCTCTCCACTTCCACATGCCTGAAGGGATGTTAGAATTCCCATTGGTTGTAATGGTGGGCAACTATTTAGTGGGGATCTTGCTCTGCACTCGTAGCAAACCCAGGGAAATAAGCCAGGATCAGGGCCAGATTGAGGCACTGGGTAGAGATTGTGGTCAACTTTCCTCTGGTGGGAAGAAGATAATTCAAGTCAATGTGTTCTTAAGTCATGAGAAAATGACAGGCAGAGCCTAAACACATAAAGAGGGCCAAATGCTTTCATTTAGATTCCATCAGATTCCACACACAATCTGAATTTACAATTCTTAGCAGTCATCAGATTCTCATGTCTGTCCGTCACAAAGATGAGGGACATCATGTGGGAGCTAATTTAATCTCTCAAGTAGACGCTGAAGGTTTTCAGGTGTATCTGGTGTTAGGAGTACCTGAGGGAAGAATGAACACCAAGGACTTCTTGGTGTTGATACCATCCTGACCTGTTCCATTTCCTTCTGTTAGTGTGGAAGGGGAGACATTTAAGAAATGGTGATAAAATTTGCTGGTAGAGTCTAGCAATTGACAGAATTAGGCAGAGACCCAAAGTAATAGGGTGTGTTGCTCACATTTTCTGCCCATCAGGTGGCAATTATTCACTTCTACTCAGAGATGAATGTTGAGCTACTCTTGAATGTTATCATTTGAACTTAATATTAAATGTTACATTAAATACAGTAATTGAGTTTGAGTCCAGGTTAGTTGTACATGGTCCATGGAAAATGAGCCTTTAATCGATCTATACTTTCATATATTCTTAAGACCTACTTGCAAAGTAATGCATTAAAATTTTTCTATGGTTTGTTTTACTGTTTTATTTCAGTCAAATATGGTAGCAAAAGAAATGCCCTACTTCATCTGGACAGTACGAAGAAATGTAATTGACTGCAACTATTTACACAGTGACCAAATGATAAATCATTATGGCAGGAATGCGTCTTTTACAACCAAAGTAAGAAATATTCTTTAGTTAAATTCCGTTATGGTTTATCATTAATAGAAGAGCTGAACCCACTTGTTATGAAATCTTCGTTATAGAAAATGTGACAATTGTATTAGAACATACATATATACATACAAATTAGGAGAGGGAGTCGACCATTTGGCCCCTCAAACCTGTTCAACCGTTTGCTAAGATAAATCTGATAAGGATCTGATTCTGGCGTCAGTAGTACTACCTCCTAAATCCTTTAAGTCTCTTGTCAATCAAAAATCTATGTAATTCAATGATGCTGCCTCGACTGTGCTCCAGGGAAGAGAATTCCCACGACTAACAACTCTCTGAGAGAAAAAAATGTCTTCATCCCCATTTTAAATGGAAGACCACTTATTTTTTAAGAATTATTCTCTAGTTCTAGGCTTTTCCATAAGGGGAAACACATAACCAGCATCTGTCCAGACAAACATATGAATTAAGAGCAGGAACAGGCAACTAGTTCCTGCTCTGTCAGGGGGCGGGTGAGGTGTGGGGGCTGATCTGTTTGTTTTCCATTCTGACTTATCCCCGATATCCTTTCAACCCTTTGCCCTGCCATCCTGTCAAGATACATCGAGAACTTATATGTTTCATTAAGTTCACCCTATAATTTTTCTAAACTCCAATGGATGCAGATTCAGTCTATCCAACCTTTCCTGATAAGCTAATCCCTTCATCTCAGCTAGATGTTGTATCTGTTATATTATGTCCTTTAAGTGCGGAGTCCAAAGCTACACAAAGTATAGGTGTTGGCTTCATTATAATAGTTTCTTGAATGTTATGCTACCTCAGCTCTTCATCTTCCTTCTCACCTTTCTTAGATGCATACTCTTCTAACCAAGAACTCTGGTTGGTTTGTGTCACAATCTGTCAAGAACTGTTGTCAGTGTCTGTGCTCAGTCAACTTGGAGTACAGGTGAAGGTACAGTTCTGTGTGGGATGATTGATTTTTATTATTTAGTGGATCCCCACAAAGATTGTTGGACACAATTGAGTCAGAATGAGATTCGATTTTAATTTGAACAAATGTATGGAATGTATTTTGGCACAGGATGAAGTGATCCTATTTTGCAGGCTGTTGGTAAGTTGTAGGTTGCTGCTGAGGCTTGTAGGCACATCATCAGCTCCCTCCAATTACAGGGAGGAATTATAAAATCATACAGAACAGAGAGCATCAACCCAAACTAATATTACCAAACACACCAAAAGAAGGTGTCAACTAACAAAGGTGAAGACAAAAAGGTATTTGAGATTAAAAAAAACAAAGAACTTCCTCCAGGAATTTGATTTTGTGTTGAAAACCTCTGTGCGGTTGTTTATGGCTCACTGAAATTCTGTGGCCCTCCCATACTTTGCAACTGTAAGTCTACTGCTTGTGCACTGACAAGTCCACAAATGAAGTTATATCCAGATATGTTGGATGTGTCCAGATATGTCCTATCTATCACATTTCATGCAGTCTTATTTAGAGTAGAACCACTTGTCAGACCAAAACAGTGTCACCTGTGTCAAAGGAAGTTTAAGTTGGGACAATTTCTCCAGGCTGTGATTTTCCTTGACCCTGCTCTAATAGAATGACTGTGGCAACTACTACACGTTAAAGGCTGTTGCAGGGGTTTAGCAACATTTGGATTCAGAAAAGAATGTCTTTCACAGTTCATTTTGTAAAAGGGTCAACGGGGAATGATATTCAACATTTTATTGCAGATGCATCTGGATATAACTTATCTTCATGTTTCTTTTAAACAAAAGTGAGAGTGAACATCTACCTTGCAGATAGAACAGGAGCTGTGTACTCAATCCAACTTGGACTGAATGGTTTGTGAAATGCTGCCTGCCTTTGAGAATCTGGGTGGCCATCTGATCTAATAAGACCATAAGACCTAGGAGCAGAAATTAGGCCGTTCAGCCCATCCAGTCTGCTCTGCCATTCAATCATGGCTGATAAGTTTCTCAACCTCGTTCTCCTGCTTTCTCCCCAAAACCCTTGATCCCCTTGATAATCAAGAACCTATCTATCTCTGTCTTAAATATACTCAATGACCTGGCCTCCACTGCCTTCTGTGGCAGTGAATTCCATAGATTCACCACTCTCTGGTTGAAGATGATTCTCCTTTTCTTCGTTCTAAAAGGTCTTCCCTTTACTCTAAGGCTGTGCCCTCAGGCCCTACTTTCTCCTACCAATGGAAACATGTTCCCAACATCCACTCTGTCCAGACATTCAGTATTCCACAAGTTTCAAGTAGAACCCCCCTCATCCTTCTAAACTCCATTGAGTATAGACCCAGAGCCCTGAACGTTCTTCATATGTTAAGTTTTTCTTTCCTGGCACCATTCTTGTGAACCTCCTCTGAACCCGCTCCAGGGCCAGTGCATCTTTCCTAAGATATGGGGCCCAAAACTGCGCACAATTTTGGAATAGTCCCATTCATTTTGAAACAGCAGTTCCCAGGAAGCTCCATGCCTAGTAGCTCGGTCTATTGGCCAATACATGGCAAAAAGAAGGCCAAAAATCAAATGTCAAGCTTCTTGTGCTCCTATAGGACAAAAGACTACAGGAGCACATGTTTGTTGTCGATTGATAAGGTCTGCTAATGCCAGCATGAGAGAGCCTAAGCTGGTCTACCTTATAAGAGAGTCAGAAGTGGTCAACATTAAAGAAATAGTTTATCAAAATAAAATGCCACCAAGCCCATTAACATGGGCAGTGTGAGACTTTTATTTTATTAGGAAGTAAAATTAAATAGAGATGAGATTTACTGTAATGCTAACTTTATATGTAATATTTTATATTACACATATTGGCTGAAAGCAGATTGGCTTCAAATTTGTAACTGACTATGTTATACACAATGTTAATGAACTGACCGCTCATAAAATTGGAGAAGTGCATGTGAGGGTATCTGCAAGGATCATGATATTCAGTTCATATAACAACGGGCATCATTGTTACACCTTTTGCTATTGTATCGGTAAATTTAGAGCAGTATGGTAAAGTGTGAATCATGAGCAAAACAAGGCCTACCAACAATGGTGAAAGTTGGCATCAAACCTTGGGAGAATATCCAGAATAGATCCAAAATTACAGGCCACTTTGTAGAATGTTTTTGAAGCACTTAGGTCCTGAGCAGTTTAGATCAGCTTTTGCAAGAATGTTGCTTTTGCGTATTTTCTGAGTCAAGGTCACTAAACGTTGTGAAGCCATTTTATACATAAGAACATAGAACATAGAACAGTAAAGCACAGTACAAGCCCTTCGGCCCACGATGTTGTGCCGACCTATTATCCTACTCTAAGATCAAACTTCCCTGCATACCCTACATTTTACTATTATCCATGTGCCTATCCAAGAGTTGCTTAGATGTCCCGAATGTATCTGACTCCACCAGCACCGCCGGCAGCGCATACCATGTACCCACCATTCTCTGTGTAAAGAACCTACCTCTGACATCTCCCCTATATCTTCCTCCAATCAATTAACTAATTGAAAGGTAAGTAATTGTTACAAGTTTGGCCTGGTTCAAGTACCTTCTCGGGTTAGGTGACATTGTAGACAATGCAGATGATAGCATAAAATTAAAAAGTGTGAGGTTCTCCATTTTGGACCAAAAAAGGATAGATCAGGGTACTTTCTATATGGTATGATGTTAAATACAGTGGATGTTCAAAGAGACTTGGGGGGTTCAGGGCATAAACCTTTAAAATGTGACAAACAGGTGCAGAAAGTAATCAAGAAAGCTCATGGAATGCTGGTTCTTGTATCTAGAGGACTGAAGTGCGAAGATATAGAATTTTTCTGTAGTTATACAAAACCCTGGTTAGACCCCACTTGGAGCACGGAGAACAGATCTGGGCACTACACCTCAGGATGGATATATTGACCTCGGAGGGAGTACAACATTGGTTTACAAGAATGATACCTGAACTTGTGGGATTAAGTTATCAGGAGAGATTATACAAATTAGAGATAGCGAGAACTGCAGATGCCGGAGTCGGGGATAACACAGTGTGGAGCTGGAAGAACACAGCAGGCCAGGCAGCATCAGAGGAACAGGAAAGTTGACGCTTCCGGTCAGGACCCATCTTCAGAATTTCATACAAAGGCTTGTTGATGTTTGAAATGACTTCCACAAATGGCAGTGTATGCAGCATCAGTTGTTAACGTTAAATCTGAGGTAGTTTTTCTTTTAAGCAAAGGTATTAAGGGCCTTAACCAAAACAAAGTTGCTGGAAAAGCTCAGCAGGTCTGTAAAGGAATAAACAGAGTTAACGTTTTTGATCCAGTGACCCTTCCTCAAAACTTCCTCAGCTTTATTCCTCTGCATCCCCACCTTAACGAATTTCGGGCGTGAAATGATGCTGAACTCTTCTTCCACCGTCTTTGCCTCCGCGCTCATTTCTTTGGACAAGAGTCCTCTCCCCGTCCCACAGACTCTTTTGCCCAGTTCCAACACTCTCCATCCACCTGGATCACCTCCCTCCGGCCTTTTACCTGCACTTGATCTGTTCATTGAGAACTGTTGACGTGATATTAGTCGCCTCAATTTCTCTGCCCCTCTCTCCAAATCCAACCTTTCTCCCTTCAAACTGACTGCACTCCATGCAAAATAAAAAGTTCTGAGGAAGGGTCACTGGACCCGAAACGTTGACTCTGTTTTTTCCTTCACAGATGCTGCCAGACCTGCTGAGCTTTTCCAGCAACTTTGTTTTTGTTCCTGATTTACAGCACCTGCAGTTCTTTCGGTTTTTATTTGGTTTTAAGGACCTTAATGGGCCAAGGCAGGTATATGGAGTTAGGCTGGAGATCAGCCATGATCTCATTGAATGGTGGAACAGGGTTGAGGGGCTGAATGGCATACTCCTGGCCCTATGTTCCTATGTTCCTATGTTAAGTGGCATAAGTTATCCAGCATCCATTTCAATGATCTTAATGTTACACTTGTCTAAAACTAATTGTATAAAACTATATCTCCATA